GGGCTGTGGTGTGAGTCTAGCTCACAGCAACCTCAAAACTCCTGGGGCTCAAGCAATCCTGCTGCCTCAGCTCCCCAAGTAGCGGGATTACAGGGCATGTGCCACCATGGCCCTGCTAATTTTTTGTTGGCCAATTAATTTATTTCTATTTATAGTAGAGACAGGGTCTCACTCTTGCTCAGGCTGGTTTTGAACTCCTGACCTCGAGCAATCTGCCCGCCTTGGCATCCCAGAGCGCTAGGATTACAGGCGTGAGCCACCAAGCCTGGCTAAGTAATTATTCTTGATCATAAAGTGGTAGAGTTCATTTATTCCAAAGTCTGTGCCCTTTCACATCAGTACATTCCTCATGTCTACGGTATAGCTATGATCTTTAGATGAAGAGAATATTTTTAAGGTACATGAAGATAAAAGCTACAAAAATTTATAAGGAAAATATATAATAAAATAATCAGCATTTTTGACGTGACCAGGGGAATGAACAAGGTGGCACAAAGTATATTCGGTCTGTAGATCTTCTTATAAAATATATAAATGCAAAAACGGTGAAAAATAAAATTCAGAAAGGAATAGTGATACAAAGACTGAGTATACTAACAGCAGAATTAAATGTCTTATGATGGCAATAACGGTTAATAACAAATAACATATGAGAATGAAAATATCTCATCTATAAAGAGTAGGCAAAGATGTTTGAACAGGAGATACCAAAAGTACAGAGCCCTAACAATAGGTTTATAGGGAAAATACAAAATATATCAATACATTTCTTAAAAAGAATGACACACAATGAAGAGGATGAAGATGCAAAAAAAAAAAAAAAAGAGGGTAACAGAATTTTATTTATTTATTTATTTAGAGACAGTCTCACTGTGTTGCCCAGGATATGGTGCCGTGGCATTAGCATCACTAACAGCAGCCTCCAACTCCTGGGCTCAAGCAATCCTACTGCCTCAGCCTCTCGGGTAGCTGGGACTAGAGGTCTCATGTGCCACCATGCCTAGCTAATTTTTATATATATACTTTTAGTTGTCCAGCTAATTTCTTTCTATTTTTTTTAGTAGAGATGAGGTTTTACTCTTGCTCAGGCTGGTCTCAAACTCCTGAGCTTGACGATCCACCCGCCTCTGCCCTCCCAGAGAGCTAGGATTACAGGCGTGAGCTACCACACCCGGCCAGGTAACAGAATTTTAAAAAATGCCAGAAACATATAAGTTATTATTAAACAATGGAATATATAATGGCCAAGCAGTTCCTTGTGATCTTTTTGTGCATTAGTTACATATGCCTCCAATAAACAGCATGTGTGTGTTCACTGATAAGGATCTTTTCAAGGCTCTTATAGTATAACCTATACAATTTCAAAAATCAGGCTGGGCGTGGTGGCTCACGCCTGTAATCCTAGCATTCTGGGAGGCCGAGGCGGGCAGATTGCTTGATCAGGAGTTCGAAACCAGCCTGAGCAGGAGTGAGACCCCATCTCTACTATAAATAGAAAGAAATTAATGGCCAACTAATATATATATAGAAAAAATCAGCCGGGCATGGTGGCGCATGCCTGTAGTCCCAGGTACTCAGGAGGCTGAGGCAGTAGGATTGCTTGAGCCCAGGAGTTTGAGGTTGCTGTGAGCTAGGCTGACGCCACGGCACTCACTCTAGCCTGGGCAATCAGAGAGTAAGAAAAACTTGCTCTACCAAAAAAAAAAAAAAGAAGATCAACTCATACCTGGTCATCTGCATGATCAGACAAAGTGCTTTCATAGATTAAGGTTTCTGGGTTTCAACTTTAGGAACATCACAGCAGAAAATTGCATGTCAAATTTGAACCTATCCAGGTTGAAATATCAGTGGGAGAAAATGGTTCTTCTAAAGTGGAAAACAGAACAAAACAAATAAGTGAAAAATTTAAAAATAGAAAGAGAGTAACCTACCAAACAAAATAAGTGAAGAAAACAGGAAAAGTAGGTAATAGCAGTCAAGAATACCAAAGATGGAAAAAAAGGCATGTTTCACCAGATTAGTCTGGCATCAGTATTCCGAGTTTACTTATCACTTCAAACCTTTCACCTCCACCTCAATCTCTTTCCTCTCTGTCAATGACCTTGCCTCCTCACCAAGAAAACAACAAAAAAAATTCCTTTAACTGAGTGTCTAAGAATTTTCCAAATCTTTAGCTATTTATTCTTTGTTCCTGCCCTCTAGTGTCAAAAAATAAAATATTCCCCATTACCGAAGACTAATTTTTTTTCGCCTGGTCTCAACCTTTATCTCACCAGAAGAGAACTGTTCCACATCATAAGCCCCTCTCTTGATTGTATTGATCAATCTCTCCTTTTTCTTAACTTCCTTCTTCCACATAGAAATATGCCTCAAAATTTTTCCATTTTAAAAAGACAAAAACTCTGCCTCTACCCTGAGCCTCCCCAAAACTTATAAGCCAGAATGAGCTTTCTAACATATTAAACACAGACCCAGTTAATTTTAAATTCTTTGATTTTGGAAATCCTTAGAAACCGAGTTCCCTATTACCTTCAGGACATTTTTCAAAATCTTAAGATTTCTTTTTAATTATTTATTTATTTATTTATTATTTATTTATTTATTTATTTATTTATTTATTTATTTTTGAGGCAGAGTCTCACTCTGTTGCCTGGGTTAGAGTGCTGTGGCGTCAGCCTAGCTCACGGCAACCTCAAACTCCTGGGCTCCAGAGACCCTCCTACCTCAGCCTCCCAAGTAGCTGGGACTACAGGCCCACAGTGCCACCATGCCTGGCTAATTTTTCTATTTTTAGTAGAGACAGGGTCTCACTCTTGCTCAAGCTAGTCTCAAACTCCTGAGCTGAAGCGATCCTCCCACCTCGGCCTTCCAGAGTGCTAGGATTATAGGCATGAGCCACCATGCCTGGCCCAAAATCTTAAGATTTTATTTCTGACAAATAAATGATCCCTCGTGCCCTATTCTGTCCTATACTCATCCAAACTATCTGTAATGTCATTTCCCCATTTATTCCCAACTTAACTGTGACTTATTCTCCAGGATTCAGCACAAACAACACTGCTTTAGATTTCCTGACCATATTCTCAGGCTGAAATATCAATCTTTTCCAAGTGTTTTCTCTATCATCCAATGACCCCTTATACATACTTGGATGGCATGATCACAGCTCACTGCAACCTTGAACTCCTAGGCTCAAGTGATCCTCCTGCCTCAGCCTCTGAAGTAGTTGGGACTATAGGCACATGCCACCACATCTGGCTAACGTTTTTCATTTTTTTAGAGACAAGGTCTCATTATGTTGCCCATGCTCATCTTGAACTCCTGGCCTCAAATGATCCTCCCACCCCAGCCTCCTGAGTTACTGGGATTATAGGCATGAGTCACTACACCCTTTGTTGGTATAATCTTTGATTTTCCTTGTGTGTTACCCTCTCTAGACTATGAGTTAATTGTAAGTGAAGAATGGCTTGCTCAGTTTTGTTTCAGCACCTTCCACAGTGTTTAATAAATGTATATTAAGGAACGAATGATAGATCTGCAGCAAGGATATGGAGAAATTGATATAGGAATCCAAGTATGAAGTAATAATGAATTGAAGTAAAGATTCATATGAGCATGCATAAAACTGATTATCATTGTTAATACAGTGTATAATATCTGAAGCAATTGTTTTATGGGGCTTAAAAGGAAGCCAAAAGAATTGATGGCTTATCTTCCTCTGGGCCCTGTTAAGCACCGACATGGATCATCTCACTATCAGCCTAAGGATGAAGCAGACAAAAAGAAAAGGCAGTGTTAGAGATACTGCAAAGAAATAAAAGACTCTTGATTTAACAACATCTGATCACTGTTTTATCTCTAAACTTTCCCTTCTAGATGAGTCATATTCCCTTTATTAAACCCTAGTATTTTTTTTTTGAGACAGAGTCTCGATTTGTTGCCCAGGCTAGAGTGAGTGCTGTGGCGTCAGCCTAGCTCACAGCAACCTCAAATTCCTGGGCTCAAGCTATCCTACTGCCTCAGCCTCCCGAGTAGCTGGGACTACAGGCGTGCACCACCATGTCTGGCTAATTTTTTCTATATATTTTAGTTGTCCAATTAATTTCTTTCTATTTATAGTAGAGACAGGGTCTCGCTCTTGCTCAGGCTGGTTTTAAACTCCTGACATCAAGCAATCCACCCGCCCTGGCCTCCCAGAGTGCTAGGATTACAGGCACGAGCCACCGCGCTCGGCCCAAACCCTAGTATTTTTAATTCAAACAAACAGATAAAATAAATTATAAAATGGCCACAAATTCTTTTCATCCCTATATGCATACCCCATTGTAATGTGACTTAATCCCTCTTTCCAAAAAGAAGTATAGTCTATTTCTTCAATCCTTGAATCTGGGCTTGGCTATGTGACTTGGCTATGTGACTTGGCTATGTGACTTGGCTTTGGATAATGAAACATTATCAAAGGCTTGCAAAAAAGAAAAGAAAAAAAAAAGAAACATTAGCAAATATGACACAGCAGAGGCTTTGAAAGCGCTCTCTTGCTACTGGGAACCTTGACTACCAAGTACAGAAGCCTGGGCTGGGCTCCCAAAGGATGAGATACCACCTGGGGAGAAGCTCCACCTCTCCCAGTCAAGGCTCTAGACACATGAGTCAGGCCAACTCAGAACATCCAGTCATAACCGAACCAGCCCCAGATCACAAAAACTGTCAAACCAGCACACAGAATCTTGAGAAACATATGTTTGTTGTTTTAAGCCACTAACTTTTGGATAGTTTGTTACACAGTGCTATGGACTGTTTATGTCCCTCCAAAATTCACATGTTGAAGCTCTAACCCTCAGTATGGCTGTATTTGGAGATGGGCCTCTAAGGAAGTAATTACGTTAAATGAAGTCAGTAGGATGGGCTTCTGATCTGATAGGTTTAGTGTTCTTATAAGAAGAAACACAAGAGAGCTCCCTTGCATGCTCTCTCTTTCTGCCATGTGAGAACTCAGCAAGAAGGCCTACAAAACAGGAAGAGAGCCCTCACCAGAAAGTGACCTTAATCTAGGATTCCTAGTCTCCAGAACTGCAAGAAAATCAATTCCTATTGTTTAAGCCATGCAGTCTGTAGCATTCTGTTATACGAGCCCAACAGACTAATAACTGTACACACAGCATAGCTAATTGACACAGTAAGTTTTAGCACTAGCCCTACTATTTTCAAAAGATTACTACTTAAAAACTACTAATTTTTGGCAGATGTCATTCCAGTTTTAAGCTAATTTATGGTTTTAGCTAATAATAGGTTGGCTTTTGTTGTCATAGCTCTTCATCTGCTTCTACTGGATCATTATAGTTCTTTTTTGAAAGGTATCTAAGATTGGCCAGAGTAAAAATAACTTCAGTTAGCCACCAAAGTAGACTTTTGCTATGGGCATATGGTACTAGATGAATGTATTCATATTAATTCATTCAAATATTTTAGCACATATTTACTTGACAATGACTATAAAAAGGATGAAAGAAAACAGTCCCGGCTTTCAACACTACTCAAGTGGAGACAAAACAGTTTGTAGACAAGGCTACAGGCTTTCATGGGTTCTGTCTCCTTATTATAATCCACATCTTTATATTTTATACATTAATTCCCTTAAAACACCTTTCCAAATACCAAAGTCAAGCTTCCATACATCAGTAGATTAATAACTCCAAGATATAGCATGGTGGTGCTTCCTGTCAGCCAATTGTTCTGCTTTGTCATATTGACCAAATTATGTGATATTATTTATTTTATTATTTATTCAGTAAATACTGATGTGTTATTACAAATCTTACATTATTTTGGTTTTTATAAACTGAAGAAAATAATAAGATCAAAAGAAAAGATGGAAATCAAGTATACTAAAGGCAGAAATCTTGGGCTAGCTGACCATGTGTTCAATTACTAAGTTAAAGACATAAGCTTTATTTAAAAGTCAAGCAGAAATGATAAAAGTAGAGAAATCTTTGAAATCCATGAACCATTCATTATAAAAAAACTGATGATTCAAATGCAAAAGAAGAGTCATGGGTCCATAGAATAAGACAATAAATTACGATAGACTTTTTTTTTTTTTGAGACAGAGTCTCGATTTGTTGCCCAGGCTAGAGTGCGTGCCATGGCGTCAGCCTAGCTCACAGCAACCTCAAACTCCTGGGCTCAAGCAATCCTCCTGCCTCAGCCT